CTAACCCTAACCCTAACCCTAACCCTAACCCTAACCCTAACCCTAACCCTAACCCTAACCCTAACCCTAACCCTAACCCTAACCCTAACCCTAGGGCGCACTTTGGCGCCACCCCAAAAGGCGCTCAAACCTTGCTGAGGGCGCACTCCACAGCCACCTCCACATCACTACAGCGCACTTGCCTACCTGCGCACATTGACCGCAGCCCAGCGCTCTTCCAGCGCCCTTGCATCTTCCCCCAGTGCCCCTTGGTGCACTTCATTTGGTGCTTCTCAACGCACTTGACACTTTGAAAGCTCACATCTCCATGAGTTTGCGACCCCAGCCCAAACCCTTCACACATGCTAAATGACTCCTTTGACCCTCTCCAAAACCCTGCTAGGGTCACATAAACTCCCAAATTTCAGAGGTGCCACCAGCCAAATTTACCCCGCACTTGCGCTTTGCGCCTCCTCACGCAAAAATGGCTATTGCAAATCCAAAACTTTTCTGCCACAAGACACTCCTCAATGTGCTCTACAAACTGGCTATCAAACATCTCCGACCCTAATTCCAGACACCCTTGTAACCCTAACCCTAACCCTAACCGGCCACGCAGCAAATTAAATTCGAGTCATGGCAGACGCTCCAGTCGAGCCATGGCAGTCGCTCAAGTGGGCGGTCTGCGGACGTCCGGACGCGTCAATTTCGGCAGGGTGCGGTCGCGTAAAATCCTCCTCAACTTGTACCAGTAGGCCAATCTTCTGTTGCACGGAGGACACGATTCGGTGCCTCACCCACCAAGGCGCTGCAACGTCTGCGTCATCACCAGGCTGCAAGAATCTATCTTTGTTTTTGTTTGTGCTGTTGCGGTAAAGTAATCGAGATGCAAAAGATGTTCGATTTTCGCAGATAAGACCAATGATGGACGTGAAATCAGATCGTACATCACGCTCGCTTGAAGTTCGAACGTGCAGCAAGAGAATCAAAAACGGTCGTATTTGAGAGCATAGCGAAGGGCGTGCGCATGCAAAGGGCCTTGCAACACTTGGCGTGCAATCAGTGGTGACTTTTGGCCAGTGCTACGGAGGGTGGTACCAGGTCTGTCTTCTCGCCGTCACTAAAACTCGCGACGCATCTCTCGAGCATTTGAACGGTCTCGGGATGAGCGAGCCACTTGTCTGTGAGTTGTCGAATGAGCGGGATAGCGCTCCAATCATCCATAAGCGTCATGAGTTCCTCGTACTTTTGTCCGTTCCCTACCACATCGCCATCAGAAAGCGCTTTACTCAGGTTGAAGCGCCAATACTTTTCCTTTCCGAGAAGCGCAAAGCGCGGAACAATGTCTTTTGCTGCGTCGTGCGCTGTTTCCGAATTCGTCAACATCCCAATCACTTCCTTGATTGTCGTGCTTACTCCTGTCTTTGAGAATCGCAGGTCTTTAGGCACACCTGTTCCCAGACTGATCACCGTCTCGATAGGTCGAGCTGGTCCGTACACGTGATTCATCTCCGTGAACAGCCTGTAAGAGCGCAGTACAACGCACGGATTAGCAATATCCTCCATTCTCTCTAACTACCCCTCTGCACGTCTTCTCCACTCACTCAAGCACCGGGTTATTAAAACCCATGCCTCCATCGATGAACTCATCGTCCCCCACCTTGAGTCGTTCAAAGTAGACCGGAGCTGCAGAGGTAGCTCGTGCGGCTTGCCAGAGCGTAAAGTCCTTGTACAGGTCTGGAACGTTGGGGTGAGAGACGTAACTACGGAGATGCACACCCATCTTTCCGTCATCCGTCGGGTTCGCTCTGCAGGTCAAGACAACGCTTTGGCGTGGCGCGACATTACGTCGGAAAAGGTGAGCAACGCGTTGTGCATGGCGAGTTTGCGGTGCCGTGCCTGGTCATTGCTTCGTTACACCGCAATGCTTTCCAGGCCGGCGTCCACGTCGAACCAAAGCGCAAAAAGGACTCACACTTTACACTCCTCCGTGTCGGTAGTATTTTGCTCATCGCGAAGTTTCATCTCTCTGTCTTTCTCAACCCCAAACTCTCCCGCAATTTCTCGAACGGCATCCGCCAGCTTGTCGGCATCGTACATATAACTTCCCATTGCGAAAGCTACACCTTCGTTGTATTTGATCCATCCCTTCTTATATTGGAACACCTGCTTGGAGATCTTGTCGTAGGCCGCTTCACACTGTGCGATGCTCAGCTTAAGACGACCTAGCATCATGGCGATAAGCCTGTCCCAGCGCGATGCGGGGAGAAGTGGGTAGGACATCGATTCAGCTTCATGGTCCCGACTACTAGTACCGAGATACCGCGGCAACTCACCCTCCTGTACTCGTGCCTGCGATCATGTCGAACCATTGGTGGGGGTGAATAGGGTTATCGGGCTTGCGACCCTCTCTAGCCGAGACTCTGTCCATGATCTGCTTCAAGCTGCGCAGTTCCGACACACCGCGGACTCCACCACCATCTGATAGCAATTGAAAAGGCGGGGGACAAGACCGCGTCAACAACACGGAAGAATCCACGCTCTGCGAGCGATCCTCCGAACTGTTTCCTTACCCAAAGACAAGACGCGCAGAGGTCGAAGCGAAGCGCTATAAGAGGGAGGAGGAGCTGAAGGTGATGGATTGGTCAAGACTTGGTCTGCACGGACCTCGTTGGAAAGAGCACCGGTAGTTTGCGATCGAAGCACAACATCGCTCCGTGCCTCGACTGCGTTATAGAATTTTCTGACCGTTTGCTGAAGCGCTTTGGTCGTCTCTGTGGCCTGGGTATAGTCCGGAATGGGGATTGCTGGCGCGGTCTTGCCTGCCAGATAGAATACTCGCAGCTTAAGAAGTGGCTAGTGCGCACAAGGCTGAGCCATGCATCTCCCAGGCCACTCACTCTCATTGGAGATGCGCACGACGAGTTTGCCATCCTTGGCGTAATTTTCCCACCCCTTGTACTGAGCGCACACCCGCACTGCTAGCACATTTCCCTCTTCCAAAGCCGACTTGATATTTTGGATCTCCGCGCATCGAACGTCTTTCTGCTCATCAATGTCGAACAGTTGACCGGCCTGACCAGTTCGTGAAAAGTCGTTTGTAACGTTCTGATGAGAGAGCCAGCAGAGCGTGACGCCATTAACAATGCGCGGAGTCGTGGCGCTTGGAGAGTCGAGGATGACAATGTCGAACCAGCTGAAGCTGTCTTTGGCCTCGATGGCTGGCGATACGCCTTCTTCAGGTAGACGTTGAAATCGAGAGCGCGTGAAGAGCTGAACGCTCTCCAGTTGATCAATAGCTGCACGATCCAGAGCTGGACTGGTCATCCAGATGCTCGACCGAACCTTGGAATCCTCAGCGCGCACCAAGCAGGACGTGGTGGCTGAAAAGGTGTACACTCCGTCCTTGATCTCTGCCTCGTGCTTGGGGATTGTGCTATTGGTGAGTGTCCAATTTTGAGGCGTAAAGAGGTCTATGGAAGGTGAGGAGCGACGAGGTCAGTGGTTGAAGGTAACCTGGCTGTCACGGCACATCGCCGCGCACTCGCACAGCACTCACCTTCGCTGAGCAGACGCGCAGTGACAAAGGCTCTGGTGGCAGTGTTGACGGAACCACGTCTACGTGCGCACACCCTAATGGCAAGAACATCTCCCTCGGCGAGACAAGCAAGTAGGTCCGCTCTACGGTCGAATACGGTTCCAAAGTGGCGAACAGGGACGTTCAAGCTGTGATCGGGTGAGATTTGATTGAAGTGAGAAGTCCAGACCATCTCTCTGCCGCTCTTGCTTCGCTTGATTTCCGTGGAATCTGCGCTGGGAAGAATGGCAATGTCGAACCACGTTTGGCTTCCCTTGAGGGCATCCAGACCATCAGTTGGTGAATCCACAGCACCGGCCAAGGCAGCGGCACCCTGATCGTGCGAGTCGGTGCATAGTTGAATCTCAGCTACGCGCGATACGAATTTACGGGAGAGAGGTTGGGAGGTGAACCAAGTCTGGCTGACCGAATCCTGCTCCGTAACCTGCACAACGAGGGGATCGACTTTGCACTTTTCGGTGCTGATCCACGCCTCCTCAAAGATGGCGTCGGCTGCTACTGGCATGGTGCTTTGGTATGGGACGTGAAAGGGATGTTTGAGATTGAGGAAGAACAGAGAAAGCAGGGCTAGTCTGCGACTGGAGCGATACGATGGACCTCGGGGTGCAATCTCACCTGTAAAAAGAATCCCTTTAAACCTTTCGCCAAATTTGACGTGTGCTATGGAGTTACGTCGAGGGAGAGCCGAGGAGAAGAGACACTTGACATTGAAGGTCTCCAATGAGCTCCGCCATGAGCGCTTTGACTGGAGATGAGGGACACAGCGTAGCCGCAGAGAAGCAATGCCAGACACGGGCACATACGGGAGGAGATTTTCCGGGTGTGGCTGTTGTGCTGCAGCGCTCCGTGTGCGGTGTGCTGCGATGCGGATGAGCGCGAGTGATGCCGCCTTATGGCGACGCGCACCAAGCCACGCGCGGAGTACGCAAGCCACCAAGGGAGGCGGGGAAGGGAAGCTGAGTTTGAGGCGGACTCGCAACCTTGTCCGTCCCGGTCCAAGCCGTGTGTTCACGAATGCTGCTGCAGCTGCCGGAACAAAGATGCTGGCAACTTCAATCGAGGATTTTCATCCCGCCGGTCTCCAGTCGCGAGCGAATGCCACCAATTTCGCGCCGACCGGATCCCGCTCTTCTTTTTCAAGTGGCACTGAAGCAGATTAATTGACCAGCAATGGTGAATAAGGAGGCACCACATGCACGCGCGTCGGTCATCCACCCGATCGCGCATGTGCACTCCCACGCGCGTCCCGCGCCACGCCACGCCGCGCCACACCACACGCACACTGCCCCTGCCTTCCTCCTCTCACTTTGCCGCGCACAACTCGGCCCGATATCTGAGATATCGATGTTGGCAATCGGGATCGTGAATGTCTGAATTTATCCGTCGTCTCTATCGACTGTCGTCAGGCCCGCCGTATCGATAGGTCCCATGTCATGCATCTAGCTCCCGGAATGCGTCTTGCAAGCGTGAGTTTTGCCGTTGTGCCTTCATCGGCTTGGCCCCACGCACAAATTGCGCAGCAAACGGACACGATTGGGCCCACAGCCTTACGTACGCTCACGGTACCCATGTCTGCGGGTTAGCGCGCGTGTGGAGCGGATGACACGCATCTGTCTGCGCAGTCTGTGTTCTTTCGCGCTGGAATGCGAGCTCTCTCCATAGTGTGAGTCAAGCACGGGATGATCGATGTACTAAGGAGGGATGTATGTGTGTGAGAGTCTAGGTACATGTACCCCTGCATAGCGGGGCGCGCGGGATAGTCACGTGTCACGTGTCAACAGGTAGAGGTCCGGACGCATCTCTTGGCCATGTATATGGAGTCGCGAGTCGACTCGCCATGTGGTCGGTATGTCCATTCTGCGGATTGGGCCAAGATACGTGATTGCTGTTCTTGGGATTGTTCTCCACACCTTGTGACGGGTGTTTACATCGGCGTGCATCTGTAGAGCCCATTTGTTGAAGCACGTAACTCACCCTCAAAATATACCAAGGGACTTCCCAACGGGTTCTCTCATCGAGCTTGAGCTGCAGCATCAACCGGTGCAATGCGTCCGCGCGACTTGAGCCAGGCACCGACCAACTCCTGGCCTACTCCTCTGTACGCTACAGCTTGGACGCATTCGAGCAGAATGATGCCATCAGAGAGGAGGCACCTCGTCTGGGCGGGCACACTCGAGTAAGCGCTGCCGCACAATCAGCGCTTGCTCTGAGCTCCGAGATTTACTCACGGTATACGGTACACTTCTCTTGCTGGCAAGCGCCGAATACAGCCAATTCAGAAGCAGATGCACAGCCTTTGAAACGGACACAATCCGAAAGGAACCATTGTAGGTAGCGGTCTTGGTATTGAGCAACAATGGAGATATCATCGCGGCCTCTACGCAAGACGTAGATAGCAACTCCAGTCTCCACGGCCAAGCTTCTCGCGCGGCGGTGTTGCTAAAATGGCCGCTGACTTGTGATGTCAGCTCTGATGTGGGAAGTCCTTCCGGATGATGTATGGCTTGGGCGAAATCGATGTTGCCAACGATCGCGTGTAGCAGCAGCAAACCAAGCGCGAGGGATACAGCTTGCGTGTTGGAGACGTCTAGCTTCTCGACTCCTTTTTCCGACTCAAGCGGCTTACGTCGTCCCAAGAGACCAGCAGTAGCTGGAATTCTCTGATGTAGCTCATTCCACTTTGCGGCTTTCGATTGTCTCCATGGTCTGAAGCTGATGCGGAAGGTCGCGAGACATTGCAGAGAGTGGAAGGAAAAAGCCGCGAGGGCTAGCAGCACCGCCTCAACAAGCTCTTCGAACGGTGACCACATGTACGATGACGTCGTTCCGCTGCCTGAGCCTGTGGATGACGAGAAACGAACTCGAAGATCCGAGAAGTCAGACACAGCCTGTCTGACGATTTCTAGAACAAGAGCTGCACTTGATAAGCCAAAAGATGTTGCGCGACTCCACCAGTAGAGCAGCATCACTTGTGACAAAGCGACTACAGCATAAGCAAGCAAACAAGGAGGCCAAGGCGATAGTCAAATAGGGTAACTCACATGGCGACATCGATGTGCTGATCAGAAGATCGCACACAAGTTTCACGACTCCGAGAGCCTCAAAACCCGCCTGCTGTCGCCCGTCAAGATCCAGGCCGAGATGTCCTCCCATTGATGTACCTGCCTGAGCAACAAGCCTTCAGCGGAAAGCTCTCGAGCTCGATCGCGAGTCTTTGTCGAAGTAGAAGCTCGCCCCAACATCCCGGCGTCGCTCTTGAAGACATTCTTGTGTATGCGTGCAATCGCCACTCAGAACATCGCGCTCCACATTCGTGATTACTCTTGACGTCCTCTGGAGGCGCGCAAATCCTCTTTCCACGTGTGCAACTCTCCTTCCATGGCCAAGGTGAGATGAAACAGTCCCGAGTCTTGATGATAAGTGCCCTGCGTGGCTTCAGCGTGAGTGATCTGAGTCGAGTCGGATGGCGAACAGCCGGCCCAGCCTTGAGACTTGCTTCAAAGCGATCTATGGCTACCGTTGTTGGCCAAGCAGCTGAATCGTGAGTATTGAAGAGAACATGCCGGTGCGAGCACCGCACCACCACAACGACTCAAAACATTCACATGGAGTCTGATGAAGTTGATACATGGAAGCCCCCGCCGGTACCGAGCCTTTTGCCCTCGAGTCACGTGAGTGTCACTTGTGTCTGGACGAGAGAGCCGCAGCGATCGCATCCTTTTCCGTGCATGACGATGTTGTAGAATGAATGAAGCTCAAAAAGAGAGACTCGAGTCACCGTCATCAGGATACGTAGAAGCTAAAATCCGCACGTGCACGGCTCGGCTGATTGTGATGGCGCGTTGTTCCCGAGTCTAAGTCTTAAGTCAAAAGTCCTCAATCCTCGCACAGAAGCGACGGCCCGTCTTACCTTGCCCACGCGAACAGGCCGCAACTCCAACTCCAACTCATCGTCGCGGCCGAATGTGAATGCATGCGGTAGGAGCTGCGTGGCTGATGTATCGTGCGCGGTGTCAGTAGTAGCATGTAGTCACGTGAGTAGGTAGTCGTGAGTAGCAAAGCTAGATGCGTCCGGAGCTGACGGGCGGCGATCCGTGCTTGACGCGTGTGTGCGAAGAGCCGCCCGCCGCCGCAACAAAGACAATCTGAATCACGAATCGCGAATCTGCTCTACGCGCGCCGCTTGCACGCCAAATCGACGCGCGAGATGCTGACTCTCGTTACGTTAATTAATTGCTGCACTCACGACTTCTGTCGTGCCGCGTGAGCCCCATGGGCAGGCCCGCGGCACGTCGAACTCGCGCAAGTCGCTCCGGACCGCATGCTGCGCCAGAGGGCGAATTAAGCTTGGACGAACGCATGCATACGCGCATGCATGCATGCAAGCCGATGCAGAAAGCTGCACAATGCATCCGGTTCGGCCGGACCGAGGCAGAGCGCGGCAGAGCGCGGCATGCAGAGAGAGTCTCGATTGTCTTTCTCGAGCAGTCTGAGTGCACTCACGACTCACGACTCACGACTCACGACTTGAGACTACTCCCGACCAGCCCAGTCGCGCGCGACCCGTTGATCACGATCGTCGGAGGGCTATACAAAGCGCGGCGAAGTGACGAAACGCTTGCATGATCGACAAGCGCCGCCAGCATGGACGCGGAGGGCGCAGCTGCAGAGGAAGAAGAGAGCGATGGATGGATGGATGGATGGATGGCGCCTCAGTCCGGACATTTGTTGCGATACGGGCGACGACACGGCTTCGTCGCCGACTCGTCCGCGTGCAATCAAAAGGTCCTGCCTGCCGAGCTGCAACTCTGCATCTGAACCCCATGCATGCATGCATGCATGCATGACCATCTGGAAAGATGTGCGCATCCAGCAGCTCTCGCATATCAAATGCGAGCCGAGGGCTAGGCTCCAGCCCAGGAACGGGCGCATGTTTTGCGTTTGCTGCGTTTGCCCTCGTCGCGCACTCAGACTGCTGGCTCCTGCGCCGAGGCGCCGATGGATGGATGCTTCTGGCCACGGCATCGCTTCGCTTCGCATCGCATCGCATCGCATCGATCGCTGCAAGCAGCGAGACTTAGCGTCGACGCCATGCGAAGCTGTGTGACGCACCGCGTGGTGCTCTCTCTACGTCGCGGCCTCCAATCGCACGCACGCACGACCTCATCGCTCACCACTCGACTTGCACCACCGACGTGGCCCTGGTAGGATCACGCTGACGGCGCTCATAACAGGTCATCGTGCGCACGACTGAACTCTCATCACCCACCCTTAAACCTTGCTTGCCATCACTGCGACTGCGACTGCTCATGCGTCGTGACCCCTTCTGCTAAGCTGGTTGGCACGCGGCCGTCGAGATGGAAGACCACGAGCCGCCAACGAGCCCGAGCGCGAACGGAGCGAGCAGCGATGATCGTCTACCGCCGCTCGCATCGACCATGTTCAAATCCAGCTGGGACAATGCGTCCATTCGAGCATCCAGCATCAAGGAAAAGGAAAAGGATAGAAAAAAGAGCTTTTCCTTACCGCGAGCTGGTCACTTTCCGATTCTGGGAGAGAAGCACCTCATCACGGTGATGGGGGCCAAGACGGTGATCCCCAGCAAGGAGCGCAGGAACAACCCCCTCATCGGTCACGTTGCGCCCGAATTTCGCCTCAAAGACCAAAAGGAGCGATGGACGGTGAGCATGGCGTGGCGTGGCGTGGCTTGGCGTGGCGTGGCGTGGCGTGGCGCTGCAGCAGTGACGCTACCTCCAGGCGCAGCTGACGTCTCGCGCACCGGTGGCTCCAGTCGCTGCACACCACTCTTACGCTTGGTCGCCCAGTCATCGTCTTGTGAGTCGCATCGTCTCATTCAAGCGGAGGTCATTCAGCGCAGGCTCTGATGCCATCATGTCGGGCCCCCACACTTGCACAGCTTCTTTCCACTGGCAGGCACGCCACACTGCACCACCGAATCGTGCATGTTTCGAGACGCCTTGATGGCCACGCCAGTCTTTCATCAGACCAGAGCCATCGTCATTGGCATCTCGCAAGACCCGCCTGCAAGATCTTCGCGCTTTGTGCAGGAGCACAAGCTCACGTACCGCGTGCTGTACGATGAGGGCAGACGCGTGATGAACAGGTGGGGAGTCAGCAAGGCCATGCTGGGTCTGGCGGATAGCAGGTGCACCTTTGTGGTCGACCCGTCCGGCGTCGTCAGGGGCATGTGAGTCGAAGCGTACGCGATTGCGGTCGAGAAAGCACACTTGGAGACACAAAGCTGACTTTGTGCGTTCATCACAGGGCCGAGGGAGTGTTCGACTCTGCTGGACACATCAAGTACGCTGAACGCTGGTTGACCAGGATCGAGCACGAGCTGAGCAACCGCAAGCGCCACGAGCAGTGGATTCCGCTCGGCGAGATCCAAGGGCAAGGCGATGTTGCCGCCAAACGAGCTTCAAAGACGATTCGGGAGAATCTCGACGCGGATCCGAGCAACCCTTCGCCAGCCGACGTGGATTGGGAGGGCGCAGACACGCCTCTCATTCCGCCACCTGAATGGCGCGCTGCCGAGCGTCGCCGCAGACGAGATTCTGGTGACTTGGACGTCGATGAGGAGCAAGAGGATGCCGATTTGCCTCGCGACGACGCTGAGGCTGCACGTCGGGATCTCGGTGCCGAGGACCCGCTCGTCTCCGCATCAACGGGATCCAGGATCGTCTCAACTTCTGGCTTGAAGCATCTCAAGATCTTGTACGGTCCACCAGGCTCTGTCTTGGCGGGTGGCATCGGCGACGCACCGCGGTATGGCGCCATGCCTGCCACTGCCAAGCCTAGTGTCGAGCTGAACGGTCGCTCACTTGGAGAGGCCTTTGGGACCTCATCCGATCTCAGCCGGTACATGTCGCCGCCTGACCAAGTCGCCGAAGCTGTAGCGCCGCCATCGCATGCCGAGGAGGAGCAGGAACAGCTGCTCGCACACGGGGAGGATAATGCCCTGGCAGCCGTCGATAGCAACTCCGATACAGGATCTTCGTCAGTTGCCATATATCGCCCAATTAGTCGAGGAGGCAGTAGCTTCATTCCCAGCAACCAGTACAAACCCCGACAGCCAAAGCCTCCCCCTTCTGCTGCATCAGAGAGACCGCCGATTGCCCGCAACAATTCCGAGAGCGAGTCACTTTCGTCTCTCAACTCCATGGGCGCTTTTGGATTCAAGCACTTTATCTCACAACTTTCAAGCGCGGACAATGAGCCTCCACCTCTGGCTTCGCTGTTCAAGCTATCGAGACCGAGCGCGTCGGAACCCGTGGCGGCGGGCGAAGAGCCTCTAGTTGCTTCGCCGGCCACCGGTACCTTTTCTTCTCGCTTCCGAAAACAAAAGCAGTCCGCGCAAGCAAGCGAGGCGGTGGAGGAGGAAGCAGCACAGGGCAAGACTGCGAGCAGCAGCGCCTCGATCCGCTCCAAATCCTCGACACGAAACAAGCTCAAGTCGGCTGCTGCTGCCATGCTGGCTGCAAGAAAGCCGCGTGCGCGCGGCGATGCACCTGCCATACCCCCTACTTATGCCAACATAGATACCCAAGAGGAAGAGTTTGGTGAGGTAGATGACGCTGTGAGCGTGTACGACGGTGCTAGCACGACGCGGGACGGCGCCTCGAGTGTGGTGCACGACCCAGACTCTAGCTGGACGCACCACTCGCCGGCCGGCGCGACGTCCCGCTCGTCCGACACTGGTCATACCCGCTCTCTCAGGTCGAAACGGTCCAGCGCGCGATTGCAAAACGAGGTGGTGATGAAGAAGCAAGAAGAGAGGTTTGGCACGCAGGACGTTGTGCCTCCTCTTCCCGTCGGCTGGACAAAGACCGAAAGCGCTTCGTCGTCACCGTCGCCCCATTTGCGCAGCACCGGTGTTGGCTCGCAGATCCCGCCCGGAGGCGGTATGACGCCCACGACGTCGTCCGGGCGTCGGTTGGTAGATGCGCTGTCCTCGCCGCGCGCCCCTGCTCGCGAGTCCACTGAATCGCCGAGCAGCTTTGAGACTGCTAGCGACATCGCAGGCCCCGTGGTGGGCTCACCTGCAGCCCCGCCGAGCGTAAACGGTGGAAGGTCGCCGACAAGTCGTTCCATTCCGGCAAGAGGCATGCAGCTCAGCGATCCTCCTCGGTTCTCTGACGTCGCAAGTACGGACGAAAACGCCGCCGCCGCAGCAGCAGCAGCAGCAGCAGCGACAGTGGCCGCCTCCACTAGCGGTGATTCGCCTCTTACTAGTGCAATGATGCGGAGTATTTCTTCACAACAGCCCAAATCCCCAGCTTCACGTACGAGTCTAAGGCGAACCCCAGCCAAGAGGCGTACATTGGACCTTTCCAATGGACGTCCTGCTCCTGCCGATGTGCCGCAAGACGAAGCGGCGGACGATGCAGGCTCGACGGCTTCGAGACGTTCGACGATCGAAGACGATGTCGACGAGTCGGAAGAGTACATTAGAGTCAACGAAGATGGCGAAGTTGACCTCGTCGGACCCAAAGAGCCGCACGCCTCGAGACCAACGACGCCACAAGGTCAGGCACCTCCTCCCGCATTTGGCTCCTCTAAACTGAGTCCTGGCAGCTCCATTACCGGCGGCCCAGGTATGTTCGGTGGCCTCGTGGAGGAGCTGGACAACGCGGGACCACAAGAGGTTGCGCGTAGCAAACCAAAAGGAACCGGCGGCTTCAACAATCCACTAACGGCAGCGCTGCAAGCGGCCAGCGAAAGCGCTCAAAATCGTCGACGATCTAGCGCCTTGGCGGGTCAGCAGAAGGGAACAGCGCAACAGGAATCGCAAAGCGAGGAAAACGACTCCACATCCCACAAACGGCACGACTCTGCGTCATCGGCAGGCACGGAACACGCCACGCCACCCATCCCTCAGCGTGCCTCGTCCAGACCAGCTAGTCGCGATAGCACTAGCGACGCGGCGCTTGCGGGTGATGCGCAGCAGCGACAAATGATTTCGCCGCTCTTTGGACGTATGTTGGAGGAGCAGTCTCGCGCTTCTCCGCCAGGCGTCAAGAAGAATGTCGCGCGGCAACGGCAAGCACCTCATCGTCGCATCCCTACAGGGTCGACCGACAGCAGCTCCGAGGCTGCCTGGACGTCCTTTGGAGGGGCAGCCTCGACTGCATCGGATGGCGGCGGTTTCAAGACGCCGCTGGATCACACGCCTACCGGTACGCCCAGCCACTCTAGAAGACCGAGCCAGAGTCAGAGTCAGAGCCAATCGCCAAGCTTGAGCGGCACGCCACAATTGATCGCCAAGTCTTCCCTGTGGAGCACGGGCAGCAACACTCGGCAGCGTAGTCCGCCGAGCATACCACCGCCACCGCCACCGCTTCCTTCCTCGGGCAGCAGCGAAGCAAATGCAAAAGAGGAGGAGGAAAGAGCTGCGGCCGCAACGGGCTGGGCCAGTCATCCCTTTGCGAGCGTCTTGAAATCCCCCAATCAAAGCGAAGCCTCGTGGAAAGATTCTGCAATGCGACACTCCACCAGCGACCGCAGCGCGCCGAGCACCAAGAGTGCGAGCCCGATGGACCGTCCAGAGAGCTTTCTGGACGCCTCCGACGACGACGAGTCTTGGCAGGAGAGCGAAGATGGCGTAGGGGAGCTCTCTTCGCTGAAAGCTGGCAAGCACAGCCGGAACGGCAGCGCGACCAGCATGCAAAAACACACTCGAGATTCAAACGCTCTCGCCTCACCTGAAGATCGCAGACCCAGCGTCGCGAGCATTCAAAGCACCGGAACATTTGGTGCTCCTTGATCGCTTCGCTTTGCTTCCCGACGTGTATGCCCATCTGCACCGCTTAGAATTGTATCGACATTCAATGCCCATTCAAGCCATGCCCATCGAGTCTCGGCGGCGAGACGCGCCTTGAAGTCGCGCGTCGCGCCCATGGATGTAATCTCAGCGCTCTCTCTAGACGCTTCTTGGAGACTTTGTAAGGCGTCTTGTCGTGCTGAAATGCTGTCCACGAGCCATCGCCGTGATCGATGGCGAGGAGCTCGCCGTGTTTATAGAGCGGTCCGGTGCTCGGATGCTTGTAGTCAGGAAAGACGCGGTCGGGATGCAACAGGATGCCAGCGATTTGAGACGGGTGTACGTTGGTGCTCTTGCCGTCGGCCAAAGGGACGGTCCAAATTCCATGCTTGTTGCGCACTGCTCGTTGCATGGAGATCGAGCGGTCTGGCGATGGTGCATCCAAGTCGAAATGCCGCCCGTCATTGGAAGAGAGCTCGGCCGAGCCTTCGGGCGGGTGAAGCTTGCGAAAATCCGATACCAGACAGCTGAACGAGCATCCACGAAGCTGCAGAGCGAAGGGGCTACACCGTGAGCCGAGGCTAGCACTGTCGGCGGCGCGATGCACTCACCATCAAGAGGCGCGAGAAGCGCCTCTCTCCGAGCAGCTGTGGGGCAGCCGAGGCGGCCATACACGCCATCAACATGCCGCCGAGCCAGACCTCGAGCGCCGTGCATGGCGTTCGTCGGCGCACTGAAGCCGGTGTGTTTGCGCGCACGCGTGTTTGTGTGTGCGTTTATTTTGTTGTGTGGGGGCCATTTGCTCGTCAATCGAAGCAAGCTTCCTCCGCTGGAGCGTACAGAGCAGTCGTATAAAGAGAGCGGAAGCTTTAAGTTTAAATGCTTCTTGCGCTGCTCATATACCTTTCACAAGAGGGTGCGCTTGTGTTTGCCACTTGCATGTCGGCCCGCCAGGATCGATGCGTCAGATGTACCATACCACTCGCCCAAGAAGAAGAAAGCTGAAGCGCGCAAGAAATATGTCTGCGGCGTTTGATCTAGCGGTCAAGGGTGCTTGCTCCCTGTGCCACCGGAACACGCGGAACACATGGGGCGCGAGGGTCGTTTTCGATCACAGATCCCCTTGCTCGGTGAATTGGATTGCTAGCGCGCTGTGGCAACGAAGCTTCGTGTCGTTGGGGGCGCAAGGACAGTCACCGTCCACCGCCACCTGCTGCGCAACGGCCCGGAGAAGGCGGAGGCGATCACACTCTCCATTCGCTTGTGGCGCTACATAGACCTTTGTGCGCGTCTGCAAGAGAGCACGACCGTGTCCCAGAAATGAAAAAATGCTCGGTCATGAGCGGAACACGGAACCGACGATGCGGTCTTGGCCACCTGCAAGATGCAGCCTTCTGTAAGCAGCGAGCCTTTGTTTGTGCCCCATGGCGCTGCCACCGAGCATCGTCTGACTTGTCAGTGCGCCGCACCCACCACAAGAACAGACGCCTGCTATTCCTCCCACGTGCTCTGGACGCCCGCTCCGGCTTTGGGATGGCGCGCGTCAGGAGAGATGTTGGCACCCGCGCTTGCTCATTCATTCGTCCAGCAGCGCATCCTTGGGTGGACGACCTTGCACGTCGCTGCGTATGAGCATGATCACTCGAGTGAGCTCCTGCTGCTCGTGCCGGGCACTCTGAGGCGCACAGATGCGTGCACTCACCTCAGGGCGCCCTTGAGGATGTAGGTGAACCTGCCGCTCTTGAGCGGAGGAGGTGTATTCTCGTAGCCCACGCACAAGGAGCATCTGGGACATTCGAACCTGTACTGCCTCTCCACAACAGGACTCTCGGGCGCCTTGCCTCCCGTCTGTCTAAGTTCCTCCGCATCCTCCTCCTCCATCGCATCGACATTCCCGGCAGCGTTCGGATCCGCCCTTCGAAGCAGTACCGCACCCGCTTGTCGAGCGTTGACTTTGAAGGTGCGACCATTGCGTAGACGTCCATTGGAATCGGTCGTGCTGTTGACATTGAGGCAGTACGAGCCGTCCAATGGACGCGTGGGACAAGATCGCAGATCTCCATCCAGCACGAGGATAAACTCTCCGCAAAGACAGTAGTAGGATTTCAGGGAGGAGGGCAGAAAGGTGTCGTCGGGCGCCGAGGCGGAAATGACGGAGCGCGAGATGATCTTGGGCATGGCTGGGAGATGTGCGCGCGAAGGGTGGGGAGTGAGGTGCTGTCGTGTGTGATTTTGTTGTCAGTGTGAGTATCTCGAGATGGTGGTGGTGGTGGGCGGTGGGCGGCGGTGGTAGTTGGAGTGTCTGTGGAAGGAGCAACTTCAGTCTCGAGTCCGAGCAAGGCAGGCGCACGCATTCATGCGCAGGATCGCGGGTGCAAAAGGCTCTGCGCCAGCTCTCCACGGCTTTCTAGTCACGTGACTCATGCCCAGGAGCAAGCAAGGTTCGTGGTCAGTCCGAATCTTGAATACATAATTGTGAATCGTGAATCATAGAATAGCAATGTGATGACCAACACACGGCAGCATTCAGCACAGCATTGACGATTGGTTGGCGAATGGTGGGGATGATCCATCATGGAATCACCGCCGCGTTCAAGGGCGCAAGGGCGGTGTGCGTACATTTGCAGGGCCAAGGACAAGGGACACGAACCCGTCTTGACAGTTAATGGAGAAGCAACCACGACAGATCACCAAGCCAATATACCTGCTCCCTTTGCGCAAGGCGCGTGGATTGTCGCATCGTCGTTGGCCTGTGCGTGTCCTCTGTCAGAATGCATCTGCTCTTCCTGCTCGTCATCGCGCTGCCTGACGAGATTCATGCCGCCCCTCAAGAATCTTCCCACCACGTTACCACGCTCGATCGTCTCTTCGAACACCAGTCTTGCATCTTTGAGCGTCGTAGGATCTATGCGGCCGTACCACACGCCCGCGCCGTTCGGAAAGTAGATGATGACGTTTCCAGAGAATTTGTGGCCGCCTAGGTGAGGTTCGAATGCGCGCATGAGCGACGACGAGTCTGCGAGTTGCCGGCGCGCTCGCGCCGCACGAATCCCACTCACCGATGTGACTGCAAAAGAAGAGTCCTAGCGTGCCCGTGCCATCATCATCATCATCATCATCATCATCTCGCTCTCGCTCTTGCTTGCCCAGCGCTGATCTCCCAGGCAGCTCATCATCTCCCTTTGCAGCCCTTCTTCTCCACGCTCGCACTTGTTCCTCCTGCTGCTGCTCCCCCAACATCTCATCCACGTATCCCCAACCTCGACCTTCCCTCACCCCATCCGGCGCCAGCTGCAGCACCGTCTCGCTCATCTCCTCCTCTCTCGTCCGACGACGACCACCACCACCACCACCACCAAGTCCCACCTCATCCGCCCTCATATCCACCTTCCAACCCTTTTCATCGGCCAGCGTCTGGAAATGTTGGCTGAGCATCTCTGCAGCCAGCGAGCACCTCACATCCCTCTTCTTGTGCGAACAGAGCAGCACCACAGCTCTAAAAGGCATCACCCATCTTTGAGATTTGATGCGCAGATCCCGCCATTCTTGTTGCTGGCGCGAGGTCCAACTGGGCGTGGAGCTCAACCATCGAGTGTAGATGAGCTGCATGGTCGCTTGTGCTCTGCTGCTGCTGCTGCTGCTGCTGCTGCTCGAAGCAGTGTTGTGGCTGTCTTTGAGTCGAGCGAGGGCTGAAGTGGAAGGCACTCCATCCACCAAGGTCCAATCTGGGAAACGCATGATGCTCTCCCAGCCTTGCTCCGTCGAAGTGCTGATGCTGGAACAAGCGGTGGTCACGTGTCTTTTTGGTGCGTCTTTCCGTCCCTGCCGCTGCTCAGTCTTCGTCGTCGTGGTCCATACGCTTGCCGGTAACGCCTTGGATGCGCGCTGCCCATCTCCCTCACCCTGCGCTGCTGTTCTCCTCGACGCATTGCCCAAACCGAGCCGACTCTTCCAGCCCGACGACTTGGCGTTTTGTGCGCCCCTTGACGCTGTTGCTGCCGCTGCTGCACTCTCCGAAGCGCCTTCGTCCCACTTGCACCTGCTCAGCAATCCCAGCACGCCCTTCCCCTCCTCCTCCTCTGCCGCATCGTGCTGCCAATCCTTCTTGTTGGTGCTGACCAGCAAATGACTCGCAAAGGGCTTGTTGGATCCCAGCAAGTCGCTCGTCGTGTCTATGCTCTGCTTCGACCACGCTTTCAGCAACTTGGGCGCGATATCCGACGACGACTCTGCAGAGGGCGCATCAGCAGGATCATCGCAATTAGAGGCGCAGCTGAGACAGTCGGAGAGCGGTATGCCCGCCGCGCGAAAGGCTTCCGCAGCTCCCTCATCCAGCTCAGGTATGCGCGCAACGCTCGACTTGAAAATGGGCGGCGCCTTTTCATTCGTCATGTCGTGATTGTAGATGGTGGGGTAGGATGGGAGGTTCCTTGATGCTTGCGTGCTTGCGCTCGCTCCAAGCTTGCCGAGTCACCTTGATTGGAACGAGGACACTAGCGATTTGGGGAGAGGCGTGCAGCGATTGCAGAAAATTGCCCTTCGTGATGGGGGCGCCGCTGAGGATGATGATCAAGGCGAATTGAAGTGAGCGCGGTACAGGAAGCGATCTGGAGTGATCGACGACAGCAAGCAGTGCGAGGGAAATACCTCCTCGTGGGAAGGAAAAGGTCGAGGGGCGCTTCAGTATGAAGCGTGTGCGTCGAGGAGAGAGGCGCGAGTAAGGGGATGGGGGCATGGTCTGCAGGTCGTATCGCAGACAAGGTGATGGTGGTGTCTGATGATGTGGACCTCTTCAGAGCAGCGGGAGTAATGAATGTTTGTTGGTGTGTAATGTGCAAGTGTGAGTTCGCCTCCGAGCAAGTCAGCTGACATTCGCAACAGAATGGATTGGATGCGTGCACGCGTGCACGCACGCACGCATACACTGCGCGCCATTCTGATTCACGATTCACGATTGCTGCAAATTCCGATCGGCAACAGGCAAGAGCGAGCTCCGGCGATACCGTACTGACGACTGTGACTGCGCACGGCAATTAAAAGACTCGCATCCATGCACGCGCGCGCGCGCCTGACTCGATCGAGTAAGGCTATGCATGCTGACCATGCAGATGCCGGCGGCCAGACTGACGCGCGGAGACGATGCTTATCAGATCTTTAATTCTTTGGCAAAGAGGCCGAGCGCGGGGGGGGGGGCGCAGTTTGAGGCTGAGGCTGTGCAGCTATCGCACATGCAAGAGTCGAGTGCCGTGCCGCTGTCGGATCTATAGCGAAATGAGTGTCCTGGTTGTCAGATGAATGGTACGCTTCACGGTCAGGTACAGGCGTCAGTCAGCATTGCACGTATGTAGCGTGGCTCGCCATGCAGTCACGTCCACTTTGCTCGTGATGCCGTCGAATCGCCGTGCATCGCAAAATCTGATCCATCGAATACGAGCACACACACACACACCTGACGTATTCCCTTGCGATCACTTTGCCGACATTTCGAATCCAGGAGCGCGAGTCAGCAGTGCGGGGGGCTCGCATGCACGACATCAGATTGACCCCGATTTCTCCAGCTCCGCCCAACATCATCGTCATCAAATACGAGCGACGCATCGGATTTGTGGGGGGGGGCGTCAATAAGAGCTCACAAAGTATTTGTAGATTCATCAGCTCATTTGATGACTCTCTCTCTCTCTCTTTCCTCTTGGCTGATGGCAATACTCGCACCTCGGCAGCAAAGCGTCGATGATGCGACTCGATTTTTGATCGAGACGGCACAGCTTGCAAAGCTCAGCGCGCCATCCAGCCCTGATCGACGCGCGGGTGGGGGAAAGAGGCAGGGGTCAATCAGACTTGCCACTGCGCAGTCCATCTCTACACCGCGAAAAACGGTTCACAGCACTCACCCCATCCACCACGAGGATTTCACCAGTCACATAGGCGCTCGCCTCGCTGGCCAAAAATACTGTTCGTGCGGTTGGGCCCCGCGCATCAATGACTCGGACCACGATCGCTTATCATCAACCATCTCTCACCTATCGGACCTGCAAAGTCTCTTGGAGTGCCCCACCTGCCCGCAGGAATGCGCTCCGAGATTTGCCTCTCCCTGACAGGATCCTGTTGCAGCTTCTCCGTCTGCAGAGCCAGTGCGATCGCGAGTTGCTGGGGCAGATGAGCGGGGGCGCACGAGCACGTATCTTGCCGATCGGGTCGTGTCACACTTCTCACCATATCAGTGGAAATGTATCCTGGACTGCAGCCATCAGGAGCGTTGTCAGTCGAGATGCGGGGTGGTGGATTGATGAGACGTGCATGCTGGGCGGGACACTCACGCGATAGCATTCACCTGAACACTGTGCGTTGCCCACTCATTCGATAGCGCCTTGGTAAGTTGTCCTACTGCTCCCTGTCGTGCGGGAGAGAGAGGGAAGGGTAGGAGCGCATACATGCGGGGTGGGGCGGCTACTCGAGAGCAAAGGTCTCACCTTGGAGGAGGCGTACGCTGGAATCTGTTTCGATGATTGGCCTCTCAGTGAGCAGAGGCACCTCTGCTAGCTGCAATACTCCCGCCACCAGCGCCACTCACGCATATACCGCCTTGAAATGTGAGCAGCGAACCAAAGTTGATGATTTTGCCGCCACCTGGGCGAGAGAGAAAGTGCTTTCCAGCTTGTTGACTGAGAAGCCACACCGTCTTGAGGTTGACATTGATGACCTGCCAGAGCAGAGCAGAGCAGAGCAGAGCAGGGTTTTGCGCGAATTGAGCAAGACACGCGCTCCTCCAAAGTTCGCACTCGCACTCGTACTCGCTACCGCCACCTGCTCACCTCGTCCCAATCCTCCTCTGCAAAGTCGACGGCCTCATTTCGCCTCTGGATGCCTCCCACATTGACCAGAATATCCACCTTTCCTCGAACTTCATCCTTCTTGAGCGCCGCTTCGAAGACGCCCTTGACGCTGTGCGAATCTGCCAAGTCCGCATACACGACGCAGTGTCTCTGACCTTGATCAGTGGGCAGATCGCGAAGCGCTTCGTGCTGCTGCTGCTGCGAGTGCGAGTGCGTGCCCGTCTGCGAGTCTGCGTTGCTCGAGGTGGTCGGACGAAGAACGAGGCAGCAGCTGGCTCCTGCTTCTGCTAATGCCACGGCGCAACCTTTGCCGATGCCTCGCGTTGCACCCGTGAGGATGGCCTGCTTGCCCGCTAGCGAGAAGAGGGAGGTGGATGGTATGTCGGTGCGCGTGTGCGCGGCCGTAGGAGCAGAGGGAAGGCTCATCGTGGGGGTTGGGAAGTGGCGGTGTCGTGCTGGTGTGGGGGTGGTGAGGTGAGAAGTTTGATGGCAAGCGATGAGCGATAGCCGTGATGTACGTACGCTTGGGGTGGAAGGGGGGCGGGGGCCCTGCACTAAGCAAAGCGTGGGTCGTGCCGTGTAAGCCCGCTTCATGCGGCGCGGTGGAGGGGACGTGCGCAGGCGCTAAATCACGCGGCAGCATATGATGCAACACGCGAGGATCTTCTCGGACGTCCGCGGATCGACACGTTGCGGGGGCAAGCTTTGCGCGCGATGCAGCGTGCAGTGCAGGAGGAATTAAGGGATTGGCAGAATCGTGAATGTGTGTCCCCGGCATACACACGCGCCTCCCTCTCTCTTCCTCTCCGTCACGATGTCGAAGTGTGGAAGAAGAAGAAGAAGAATGAAGAAGAAGAAGAAGAAGCGCTCACAAAGACGCGTCACGAGTGGGATCCTGTCAACATCTTCCGCGGACATCTCATGCTCGCCATAGCACAAGCCTTCAGCATTCGTAATTAGTGAATGGCCGCACAGGTGCGGGTCCGCGGCGCTTGTCTGCTGCTCCAGCACTTTGGCGGCGATGAGGCTGTTGGATTGGCCTGGCCTGGCCTCGCAAGTCGACCTGAGCTCATCACCTCATCGCGTCTCTTCGGTGGCGAAGGGTCGAGAGTCGTGAGCTTTGCTGTCTTGCGTACTTGCGCCGAGTATTCGTTATGCCCACGCCCACACCATCCGTCCCCCACGCCACCGCACTGCGGAGAGAGGGCGCTGCATGCTAATCAGTGAATTGATCCCTTCGTCGCCCATTGCATTCGCGTCTCTGCGCGAGGATAACGCAAGGCGGAAGTGCGCAGCGCTCGCTCGAGACACGAGTGGCGGTGCAGGAAGTGGCAGGTGTGACAGTGAGCAGAGCCTCAAATGGGCAGCACGCTGTGACCTGAGCACAGCTCTCTCTGCGCGAAGTGGGACGTGGACCTCGCGTTCACGATTGCAGCAGTGGCAAAGCGGCACTCAGCGCGTGCCGGTGCACGGTACGGTACACTTACACACGACTGTTGGCAGGTGGACAGTCAAAGGTGCCGCGACGATTGCTCTGTGAAGCAAGGCGTGCTTGGTAGGTTTGGCTGCTACCGTCCGTCTGCCGTCTGCCGTCGCCGATCCATCCGCCGTTCAAGCAGAGCATGGCATGGCGTGGCGTGGCGTGGTGTGGTGTGGTGTGGTGTGGTGTGGTGTGGTGTGGTGTGGTGGCGAACGAATGGCATGAATGGCGCTCGCATCCTCTTCACAATCACCGTCTCCCTGCTCGGCTCTCCCTCTTTCCCCTTCTTGACCTCATCTTCTACAGCATCTCATCTTGCCTCGCGCGACTTGCTGCTGGTCAGCCAAGCCAAGCCAAGCCAAGCCAATCTGCATAGAGTCTTCATTTTTCCCTCCCACTTTCTAATCGCCTTGTTCCTGTCTGCTTTCCTTTTTCTACGCCTCCTTTTTTCTCCAATGTGGAAGCCGGAATGCGTGGGGGATGAGGTTCTCGCGCTGCGCCACGAGGACAGACCTCTTCAAGATGCGTGCAATCGCTGGTGGCACGGCGTGCGCAAGCTCACTACTACGCTGCTGCTCGTCGCCTTTGCGGCGTCTTGCTTGCCCCTCGCTCGTGCTAGGCCATCCAACTCTGTGAGTGCCCTCAGCGCGCGCTTCTCTTATTTCGTCCGTCTGCTATCGCCCGCCTTGCTCATGACGTCTACCGTGCGGTAATGCGCCTGCAAAAGAACAGACTGGCACGACGGACGCTGGATGGTGCGAGTGATGTGGTAAGGAATGCCGTGGGCAGCTTGTCAGTCGAGCAGCTCGAAGGCCTGTCGGGCGCGCGTAGGAGCGGCAGGCTCGCTCGAGCGACCAGATTGCGCCTCTCGCAGATGGACAGTCCGGCTGCTGCTGCTGCTGCACCAAAAACGACGAGACGAAAGCGAATTGCGATGAATCGGCTCTTGTCGATGGAGAGGACGCTGCCCAGAGAGGCGCGCTCGCGCTCGCGTCACACAGCTACCGCCCCTTTGCCTCATCCAGTAATCGCCACACTCACTGAGGACACGCGGCATGCAGAGTCCTTCGTGACCGCCTCAGCGCATCGCGACTACCAGCCACAAATGATGAGCATGATGAGAGAAAGTGCTTCACATGCAGAGGTTCTTCGCCACAAGCCAGCATCCTCCATCTCGACCGGTTCGCTCGCTTCGAAAGTGACTCCACCAGAGACTGTTCGCGGCTCTGCTGCCATGCAACTTCAAGTCCCGCAGTCTTTCTCAAGAGGTGCGCGGGATTTTGCGGCCTTGGCGGGATCACCCACAGCGACGAGGACGCCAGGCTATTGGAAATGGCAAGGAAAGGTCAAGCGTCCGCATTTTGGCGCTCATAAGGACAAGACGGGCTACAACACCCTTCCGTCGCATCACCAGCTCATTCGCGGTGCGCGAGATGCAGCTGGCAGCTCGCGAAATGTGCACGACTCGCCGCGAGCCTCGCCGCCGCAGCCGCAGCCGCAGCCGCACGGTTGGGCTTCGTCACACTCGCTCGCTTCGTCTTGGGATTTGTCCGATCTCGACGATTGGACTAGTGTCTCTTCGCTGCACAAAAGGGCAAAGATGAAATCACTCGAGCAGATTGCTGATCGATTGGATCACGCGACTGCATCACTCGGCAAGACTACGCCGCCGCTACTCGGTGGCAGTCTCAGCGGCAAGGCATCTCTGCTTAGCGACACGAAGCCAAAGATGGAGTCGGACGATGGAGCTAAAGCCGAATCTCGGGCGCTTGCACCAGTGGTGCAAGAGCACGTCGCAAAGGTCGGCGCGCAGCCGCACGACATTGTGCCAGGAACATTCCGCAACATGCGAGACGTGTACAAGCGCAAGTATTCCGACTTTGGACCTGATACTCCTTACAGCGTGGCATCGCAACGACGATACCTGAAGCACATTGAAAGATCCGATCTCGTCGAGCTGTTCTCGCCCGACTTGCGACACGACAATCCTGGGCCCGTTCGCAAGCTCGCCTTTGGGGAAGGCAGTCGCAATTCTCGTTGGAGGCAGCGCATAGAGCTGAAAGCTGGTGGTTACGATGCCGATGGAGTGCACCTCGCCGTGCCTTACCACGGCAAGAACCACATACGAAAATCCTACACGCCGCGCACAGATGGCGAAAATCAGCGTAGACTCATGCAGTCGTTGCAGAGAGAAGGCGACAACATTCGACGCTTTGGAATCGTTCAAGGCACTGCGCGCAAGCTCTTCAAGGGTCTGAAAGCTGACATTGCGAAAGCGAAAGGTGTGCGCGTGGCTGCCAAGTCGACCGCTCTTGAAAGTCGCACCGGTACGCAGATCCAAGGCGGCAAGGCTCCGAAAGAGGAACCAAATGCCAAACGCGCTCTCGCGGCATTGCCGCACCGTGGGCCCTCCGAGCAGAGTGAGCGTCCTTCTCCGCGACAATCCATCTCTGATCCGGTTTACTCTCCCACAACCTCGGTCTCGCTGTCGCCTCCAAAATACCGGCGCGTCCCTAGTCTATCGATGTCGGCGTCACGCGAAACGAGCCCTGATGCGGCGTCCGCCAGCTCGACCAAGTCGCAATCCTCTACCATGTCAGATCCTCGCGATCATGCGCGCGATGCGAGGTCTCACCTCAGCCTCGGCGTTCCTTCGCCCGGATCGAGTGCGCAAAGCCTCACGAGATCGCCTTTGGGGTTGTCGGACGCTGCGGCTTGGAGCTGGGGCCGCAAGCGCAAAGCTCCTGCTCCCCCGAGTTCCGCCGTGTGGAGTTGGGGTCGCACACAGGCGAAATACAGGGATGGCGAGACGCCATCCGATCTGCATGCAGCCGTTGAATCGCAAGTTCGGCGGGGATCGCTGTTCAAGCGCGCACTGATCGAAGAGATTGCACAAGGTGCCTCACACGTCAGCCCATCGACGACGACTAGCCCCGCCACCTCGACACATGTATCGGGGCTCACTAATGTCAACGCTCACAGCGATTTGCGGCACCTGGTCAACGATCCCTCGAGACGACCCCCTGGCCCGATCCCATCGCGCGCCGCAAACGCCGTGCCGTGGGGTTCTGGCAATTGGCGCACGCTGGCACGCCAAAGGAGAGTGCTGCAAGATAGAAAACAGGAGGCGTGGATACCGTATCTGTGCCCTCGACCACCCTGCCACATGAGCAGATATGACCCTGAACGGTCGCTTGGTCGCTTCGAGTCGGAGACGTACGTCCAAGCTTCAACTACGGCACCTCGACCGCCTGGTCCGGTGCCCACCCGAGGGCCCAACAAGCTTCCTTGGGGAGAGGGCGGTACGAGCGCCTTGTCAGCGCAACGAAAAGAGCTGCTCCAGCAGGGCAAAGCGTGCTGGATACCGCATCTCTGTCCTGTCCAGGCAAAAGGACGAAAAGGACTGCAAGGCGGCGCGATGATCATACCCAAAATTAGTGCGGAGCACATTGCAGCAGCTACAGAGGGTCTGCAGCGCCCTCCAGGTCCCGTCCCGACAAGAGGCTACATGAAAGATCCATGGGGCGTCGGCACACAAAGAAGCCTGACGGACCAGCGTCAGGAGCTTCGCACCATGGGCAAGGCAGAGTGGATCCCTTTCCTTTGTCCGGATCGGGGCTGCAAGTACGTTGACAGGCCCGTGGATGGACATGGCCTTCTGCGCGGTCTCGATCCACCTGCTGCGCCGAAAAGGCCCGAGGGACCTGAGCCAGTGAGAAAGGGAGGCAGAAACAAATGGGGAGAAGGCGGTGATCGTTCGCTGACGGCGCAGCGCGGAGAATTGCGCGCAGCTGGCCACGCCGACTGGATACCTTTCCTAGTTCCTATCAAGGAAAGGCAGCGCGACTACAGTCACGTACGGCCTAAGCTGGCCTTTGGAGAAGGTTCTGGTCCTGCAAAGACGTACCAACGCAACACTCTTCGAGCTGCAGGATTTGACCAGAACGACGTCTTTTTGATCGTCCCTGGCAATCAAAACAAATCATTCCCCCGGGCCAACAAGCGTTTCAAAGCCGATGAGCCCGGTGCTTCGGAGGTGAGCCACAAGAAATGGAGCTGGCTTGAAGCGCAGAGCATCCAAAAGCATGGCCTCGCTGAAGGAGCTCGGAGGAAGTTGTTCGCATCCCAGTCCTCAAGCTTGACCAACCGACAAAAAGGTCAAGGGAATGGAGAGGCCGGCGCTTCTGCGCCAGCTCGCCCGCTTAGCATACCGAACACTATTGTTGCGCATGCTTCTGTGAAGCGACCGCGTTCAAGGCTGCAGACCGTCCCGAGATACAAGAAATCGCCCGACGAGGAGAACAATGGCACGCAAGGCGCCTCGCGTAGGAACGATGCGCCTCTTGCAGACACGTCAAAGACGCCGACGGCTTCGAACGAGGGACAGCCAGCCAAGATCAGGTCGATGGTATCTGTATATTCCGACCTGCTCAAGTCACCATCTGACGCGCGCGAACCCACGCAAAAGATGCTGGAGCGTCAAAGACTTGACGGTAGAGATGTAGAGATGTCGTCCGAGAACGATGATCTGTTGCCTCGCCAAACAAGCCCTGCTTTGCGCAGTCAGAGTGCTCGCTCTCTCCCCAACACGGGAGACTCGCTAGCAGCGCGCGGACTAGCGGAGGAGCGAGCATCCGCTCAAATACTCGAAGAGCAGGTCCAGACCATTTTGGCTCAGGCGCCTCGAGGTGTTCGCCCTAGCAAGCTTTCCACTCCGCGACAAAATGTCGAAGAAGCGCCAGCTGATCTGACCGGTGGCTCACTGCGCGGTCCAGATCAGACGCAATTTGCCGAGCAGGCCTTCGATTCAGTTCAAAATGCACAGCAGAGACTAAGCCACCCGTTTGAAATGCTGCCGCTGACACCAGAGGAGCAGCGCCGACTGGACGAAGCTATGGGCACCGGCGTCGTGCGCGGACGACAATGGGGAGTCGGCGGAACGTCTACGGTAAGCAGGCAGCGCAGGTGGCTGCGTGCGCACGATCTGGAGGACCTCATCGTAAAGCTGTGTCCCGATCAGAGATGTTGGAACAAAAGACAGCCATTGCCATTGGGACAGGGCTCTTCGGCCACTCTGAGCAGGCAGAGGAAAAGACTTCGAAAGCAAGGCTTTGCTGCGCAGCAAGTGTTCGAAATGGTGCCTGGCGAGGTGCGCAGAAGCCACCCGGCGCCGCAGCGGCCCGCTACTCCGTCCTCGCCGCCTGCTCGCATGCAGGGCATGGATCGCCGTCGTTGATCGTGCGACAGTGTCTCGCTGTCCAGCCCCTGAAGCATGTATGATTTTGATCCTCTTTGCCTTTTTTGAAGAGAGCAGAAAGCGCCAGCAAAGCTGCCATGAAGCCTAGTGCAAGCGATGTTCGTCTGCAGCGTAGCGTAGCCCAAAACATCTACATGCGCGTGTGTGTGCCGCATGCGTTGTTTCCATCGTGTGCGCACGCTGCCCATCCGACTTGCTTGCAATGCAGCCTTTTATTTTCAGACCAGCTTTCACGCAAGAGCGGCACGCAGGACGTTGATGTGCATGAGAATGACAAGTGAAGCGTGAATGAAAGAGTGCAGTGGCAACAAGGAAGGTGTGGAGCCGGGCAAGAGGTGGATGATGACAAAGGACGAAAGAGCGACCACGAGCGAGGCGACACAAAAAGAGAGCGCTGAACATCTATCGGTGGGCGCTAAGGCGTGCCCGCGCTCCGAACGAGTCGCGTAGTAGGCCTACTCCATTCTAGGTCTTTTGCTCTTGTCTCCACCCTTGATGACGGAGAGCAAAAAGTCTTTGAACCTCTCGCCGTACTCTACAGGCGGAACACTGGAGATCATGTGCTTGTTGTTCAGCAAGCTCTTCCAGTAATGTTCTCCCCGCTTGACGCTATTGTACAGCGTCAGCGTATCGATCTGCGCAAAGGATGGTCAAGGTCTTGTGAGCAACAATGATGCAAGACACGCCAATCCTCGCACTCACGATTCCAAAGTAGTATATAAAATCGGTGGGATGATTGTTCTGGTCCGTCGACCTAAAGCCTCCTTCGTCTTGGTAAAAGTGGAATTGCTGCAGGTGCATCTGTTGCTGATTGACCGCCTCCCTCTCTTCAAGCAGCGGCACCGCGCCATCCGATCCGCTGGTCAAGGCCTTCGGATCCGATCGCCTCACTGCAGCCCTAAGCGCATGCGCTTCTTCCTTTGCATGAGCGGCGCTCGTCGCGCTCGTGCGCTTCGTTACCGCCCTGTTCAGTGGATGCACTGGCAAAGGCGAGGTGGACGAGATGGGAACAGAGTTCGATCGCGTAGGGCTGGGCGAGCCGGAGGGGCTGGGCTGCGAGACGAGCACCTGCGGAGGAGGAGCCGCTACTTGCGGCTGTCCCTGCACCGTCGAAGTAGAAGGCAGACTCAAAGAGGGCACGGATTCGGCTGCGATGGCAGCAGCGCCAAACGAAGGTTGATTTTGCGTCTGGGGCGCATGAGCCAGCGCTACCAAGTTTGGCGAAGACTCGTACGTCGAGCTCGACCGCCCGTCACTCGCAGACGATGACGCCGCCTCGGGGGGCATGGGACCGGTGGCGCTGATGGGGCTGGATACTATCATATCCGGCCCAAAGCCCTTCGTTTGAATCTTGCCGATCTGCGCCTGAGCTTCCTTGGCGGTAGCGTTCGGAGCATTGGCCGGCGCACCTTCCTTGTTGCCAGCACCCGCAGTGTCGGGCTGGAATACTTGAAGCGCATCCTGCCTCAGGTTCTCCCTGTTGCCCCTCTTCATATCGTGCAGACCAATCAGCAAGGAGTAGTCCATGATGCGCAGCTTTTGCAGCAGCTTGACGTCGCTTTCCAGTTGCTCTTCGAGCATCTTTTTCTTGATAGGACCAAGCTCCAGCTCTCTACCCCGATGAATCCAATTCAGGTCCTTTAGCACCGCGCCCCTTTTCTCTGCCGCTTTCGCTTCCGGATACTCTCGCCCGATGGCGCTCCCCTTGAGATCGTACGTCTCGTGCACATCGCGATGCGGGGGAAAGAGATTGTTCATGATGACAAAGTGGATCTTGCGACCTCTCGGCAGCTTGACTCGATGCAAGCCGTAGAACCTCGAGAGTAGCGTGTGCGGGTTGCTCTTGATGTGCGCGTGGTATTCCTGCAGTATCCTCAGCAAAAACTTGTGTTCTCCATGCCGGATCGTCTTGATGATGAATCTGTAATCTCTCGAAAAGTAAAAAAAGGAGCCGCTCTTGCCCGGCGAACCTAGCTCAGAGAGAATGTACTTGGCGGTGAGCGACAAGAGGTAGTCGGCTGGGTCCAGGTGGAAGTACTCTCGGAGATCCCTGAAAACCCAGGGAGCGTAATCCTTGAACTTGAAGTCGTACTTGGCAGACGGTGTCAGCTCGTTGCCGATAATGTCGAACGTGAACTTGTGCCTGGCTGAAAAGTCCGCTTCGGTGAGGGGTCGAGCGGGTTTAGCTTGGCACCTCGACACCCCGATCCGAATGCCCGTGAGCATATTGTACATGAGAACGTAATTTGCATGTCCTTCTCCGATGATGTTTCCCACCAGTGCTCGAGGTTCGTCCGCTCCTCCAACGCTAGAATGTCCAAGCGTGTCGCGCCTAGCGTTGCTTTTTCGTCGCATCAGAGGGCCGCCGCCTTCCGGTGTGCCTTCCTCATCGCCGACTCGTTGCTCCGCAGCCTCTCTGGCAGCTCGAGCTCGCTTCTCTCGGTCTTTCCGAATCGCTTCAGCCTGCTTTGCCATCTCTTCGTCCAGCCCTGCATCTCCAGTTCGCAAAGGCGCGCCGCTAGCGGAGTAAGCGTTCGAGCCACCAGCGCTGGATGTAGCGTTTGCTGCCCCCTCGTGCGCGCCACTGGTCGATGCAGCAGACACTTCCCTCTCACGTGATGACCGTCGGCTTCGTTGCGTGCCGATGCTGCTGGATGATTGAGGCCGCTTGACTCCCGATCCGGCAGTGTTGCGACGCGAAGCGCCTCGAACCTGACCACTTCTGGTAGCGTTATTCGCAGCATCAGCAGGCGGCATGAGCATGCCCTCTCCTTGCGTCTTGGAACGCGCTGCCTGAGGGCGATGGTCGGCAGACGACTCTTCGTCCGACGCTGTCATGTAAGCGGTGCTCGCAGCCGAGACTGAGCTTGCGGAGCGTCGCGAGGCATGCAGGTGAGCAGCCGAGATGGGTGGGTGAGACTTGGTGCTGGATGAGCTGGCTTGTAGTGGATGTACGTGACGCTGGGCGGATGTGGATGTGGCAGCGGATGCGGACGCCGAGGCAGACGCAGATGCAGATGACGTCTTGAAGGTGCCGGATGGAGCCGGACCGTTGGCATCCGACCAGCTAGCAAAGGGATGTTCGGGTTGTGTCTTTGGAGAGATGGCTGGACTATGATATGCAAAGCCAAGAGGACCGTCTTGACTGCTGCTGCTATTGTTGATGTGGTCTGCCTCGAGTGGTGGACTGGGAGGCAGCTCGCCGATCATAGGATGAGACCTGGGCGGCGCAGTGAAAGGGTGCACGTATGGCGACTGTCCGACTTGAGACACTTCCCTGCGAGCACTGCTGTGACTTGCATCCACAGAGTCGCTCTCGTTGAGAGCAGTCGCGCCTCCCTGCGAGCCCCGTTTGCCAGGGTTGAGATTGTATGTGCTCCCTGCTGGTTTGTCGCCCATGACGCTCGCCCTCTTGCTCACAATCTGGGGCAGCTGAAGGATGCGACGACCATGAGATTGAGAGCCACCGGACGAAGAGTGCGACTCTGACAATGCGGTGGGAGAGTCATCGTCGGCGTTGCGCTGTTCGGGTGCATACACGGCATCGTTGTCCGCTGTTCGTTCGGCCTTTTCGCTGTGCTTGGAAACATGCTTGGCACCTTCTGCCCTTGCCTGCTCGTCGACCAAGTTGCCTCTCTGGTCGCGCACCTGCTGGTGATGACGAGATGAACCATAAGGCGATGAAGATGATCCGACGTACGGCGAAGAGTGGGACAAGGTCAAATCGTACGTCTCTCCCGTGCCTTCTTCAGCGACCCGCACCACATGATTGCCAGACTCTTCCGCGTCGATGGCAGATCGAATGGACCGCAATGGATCCGGTGTGCCGTGTGTGAGCAGCATCGCTAGGCGACGAGGGCAGTCGCGCAGGCGTTCGCGGTCGTGTGGGTGTGCAAAACGCACTGGTTGTAATCGTTGTGAGGCAAAAGTCGGAGCGCAACGTCGATGGCGTGAGAAAGATTCTCTCGAAGCGCTGAGCTCGTGCGCGAGGGTCTATGTGGGCGGCAAGTGCCGTTGGTCTATTCGATGGATGTGGATGTACACAATGGCGATGATGGAATCGATCAAGTCACAATTCGCGAGTCACGAGTGGCTGTGCGTCGCACCGATCGCGCAGCCTCACACAGCGAAAAGTGATGGAGTTTGGCTGAGCGAGGTCCGTCGGTGGCTTATTGAGCGACGATCACCCAGCAGCAGCAGCAGCAGCTCACCCGACCCGGGTGCTTGCGTGCGGTGCGGTGCGCCTTTCATGCGAACAACGCACATGCACGCGCGCATACGAATTTCTACTGATGATTTCCCTCTCGCCGCGCGCCCCTTAAGGCACCGCGGTCGACATGAATACGACGGTTTCCGAAAGCATCGCTCGCTCGCGCGCCTTGATTGTGGTTCTGGTGCTGCTGCATGCTCTACGCGCGCGGCCCGCATCAGGCGCGATCGATGATGCTGCTGCCACCATGCATGCAGCATGGATGCCTCCATCAGGCGCGGAACGAGGGCTCAAGCGCGCATGTGCGAGCGAGCAGTCAGAGTGACGCATTCAAAATGCAAACTTTTCATACCGCCGACCTCGTGCGCCAGCTGCATGCGCATGCGTCTGCAACATTTTGATTTTGAATGATCTGTTTGTCGCACTAACGATTTCTCTTTGTGGACATTTGAGGATCTTTGAATCCGTTGAGAATTACTCGTACTTGGTAGTCGCTTTTGCAGCACGAGACAGATAGTGTTTCGATTTGAAGCTGTGCGGAGCTTTGTATGCATCTTCCGCATGATATTTTGATGACACTCGAACTGCTGGAGACGTACCAAGTAATCAGAGGAACTCCTAACACGCGTCCTCGGCACCAGCATGGAAGAAGAGGTCGAAGGGCGAACTCGTGCGTCGCACTCACGACCGTACCATCGCAGCGCGGCAGCAGCAGCGGGCGGTGCAAGAGCTAGTCAGTCAGCACTCCGCAGTGCGAGCACCCTCGAAACCGTCCATGCACCGCGCCGTATGCGGCTTTGAATACACCAATTAACGGGATCGACATCCCTCGCTTCACGTGATTGTAAAATGTAGGTCAGGACGTCGAGCTAGACGCGTGGATCGCAGCGAGGGGTGCTATGAAAGGGCCCCCCCTTTCTTTGATCAATACAGAGCGGTCCTCCACGTGAGTAGTAGCCTTCAATGCGGGGGGGTTGCGTGCTTGGCTTGTGCTTGTACCCCCCTGAGATGGGCGCTGCATGGTTGCCAGAACTTTTCGCTCCCTCATCGTAGCGCGCGCTCACGCTCGCGCTCGCGCTCCTCGGATTCGACAATTTGCTTTCAATCACCATTCGAGTTAAGGGTCTTGGCTCCGAAGTGTGGCTTATCACTCTGCGAAACAGTTAATGAAGCAGATCAAGGTGCTTTGTCCGCTATAGCTACCGCGCTGGGCTGCGTGCCGATCGGCGCAATCCTTCCTTTGTGATGGTGACAGCATCAACGCTCGGATCGAAAAGAGTCACGAGCGCTCATTCGACAGTCGCGAGCTGCAGACCGGGGACTCGTTGAAAAGTCAAAAGTCTTGCTGGGTCTTGGCAAGCGGCACGTGTGGGGTAGAGTCAAGTCAAGGGTCAGGTCCGAGCATTCAAAATTCAAATTGCGCGCTCACGTGCAGAGTTCTGTCTTGAGGTTCACGTGATAGTGAGCTGGCATCATTGTCCCGGCCGAGAGTGTCTCGCACCGTTTGTGACTGACGGCGACGGTGGTGAGCCAAACGGAGTCACGAGTAGCGCTGGCAAGGGGCGAACAGATCACCCACCCAGCAGCACGATGTAGGTTCCAATTCTTGACTGTGGCTCTATACATCCGCCCTAACACAGCAAGCACCCATGCACAACTTTGACGGCACAAAGCCAGCTGCGCATGGGGCTGATGACCATCGCTATTCACGATTATTATTATTATACCTTGCCGCAACAGATTACCGAGAGATGTGTTGAGATTCCCGAGTCACAAGATGCCGCTCCAGTGCGCGATACGCGCGGTGTATACACGGCTGGACTAGGGCGATCGCGACTGCTTCATCGTGAACGCGTGAGGCATGCGGGCGCGGGCGAGTCTGGAGCGCGCAGGCCGTATGCGGCCCAAATAGAGTCACGAGTGCATGGTGCATGGCGGGGGAGGGTGCAGGTACGATGCACGCACGCGTTCTGCGGGTCGTGTTCAAAAGGGAGATCGCTCGAGCGTCGCTATGGTGTATCCCGGTCCTTGACCCTGTTCAGTGCAGTAGGAAGAAGGTTGGACAAGATTCCGAGCCTGACTGCTTCAAGACGGCCACATGGCTACTCCAGGCAGCAGTCTGAGTGTAGCAGCTATACTCAGACTCGGAGGCAACAAAAGTGATGAGGTATACGCGCGCGTCGGAACAAATGCATGCATGCAGTCTGAGTCGTGATGGGCGCGGTCGCCTGCCTGCTGGCAAAAGTACTCGCGCGCGCGCGTCCGCGAGCTCTAATTTGAGAGATTGCCGAAGCACATGCAGCTGTTCGTCGACGTCCGATGATGCATTTCGTGATCATGTTGACGCTTTCGGGTGCTGCTCGTGCTGCTGCTGGGTGGGGTGAAGTGCAAATCGTCAGGATGAGTCGCGCGGGCGGGGGGGAGGGGGATGGCAAAGAGAGAGCTCAACCTGCGCGCTCATGCTGCGTGTCTCACAACACGTATACGATCCGCGTCTTACCGCGGGGTCCGGTGCGTGCGCGAGACGGAACGAGCGAGTATACGTCTGATGAGTCTGCAGAGTGCTGCGTTGCGCTGCGCTCTTGATGCCGCCGCCGCCGCCGCCGCGTACGTCTCATCTAGATCGGCGCTCCATCAATGTGAATGAGGGGCGGAATGGAGCGCACGCTGGTCAGATCAACTGCACTCGAGCCACGACTCACGACTCACAACTGCCGACTGCTGACTGCTGACTGCTGACTGCACGGCATCAGATTCCCGCTCGGCTCGATCATGGATGCAGCAGGCAGGCATCTTATCTACCAACGTGGCTCTGCATAGCAACAGCGCCCCCGAGTTGGTGAGCCAGGTGAGTGGAGGTATTCCGACTTCGGCATTCATTCGCCTTTGCACTCACTCCCTCTTGCGCGCGCTCGCTCTTCCCCACACATATGCAGGTCCACCTTTGAAAGCATCACAGTGGCTGTCGACATCTCTCAACAATCGTGAGTGAATCAACAGCTACTGTACTCGTCACTGTTGTATAAGTCGAGTCGTACGACTTTGTAGGCCCGGGCAGCAAGAGCCCGAAACGGCAGGAGCAGCAGCAGCAGCAGCAGCAGCAGCAGCAGCAGCAGCTAGACTCCCCTCGCTCGATCAGCTCGCCTTTGCCTTGAGCACCGCGCGCGGGGCACTTTGCGCAGACGTTGACCCCAACTCTATTTTCACTGTGACTTAATTGCTCGGCACGCACGCACGCCTGCCCACTGTACAACTAACTCGTCAAGGGTCCCTTTTTGGATTGACTGCGCGCACCTTGAAAGCTGCGCACGCTCGCTCCAATTCGAGAAAGAGATCGACCGCTAGACACTCGATACGATACATCTCCGCACTCGACACTCAACTCGGCGCGACTGGTGCATGTCCATGTGCAGTAGTACAGTATACTCCGCATTCACCCACAACCTAGCTGTCCCCCTCCGACTGACATCTCGCCAACTCAGCCAGAGCTCGTGGGATTGCCGAAGGTGCCTTGCAGCGAACAAGTCCGGAGCCCCGCGCCTCTGCTAAACAACAGCTACTATACTCGCACTCGCACTCATCCTCGTGACTCTCTCTCTCTCTCTCTCTCTCTGCCCGCGGGAGTCGTGGAATGTCCTCAAGTGCCTAGCGTGGCGTGCCGCACCATTCGGTGCTCACGATTGCCGCATACAACCAGTCCATCTTCCTCTCGCATATCCGGAGATCGCACGGCACAACGCAGATACTTAAAGAGACGTTCATTTGGAACACTTGAGGGTGATCCACATTTGACCACACACCATCCACCCCCTCATTCCAGTCCCTGGCACATCGCATCGCAACACCACACCTCGCGCACCTTCATCACCGTACGTGTGGCGCACCAGTGATCGTCCTCGTGATCCCTCCTCACTCGACATCACACGCATACACACACGCACACGCACACGCACACGCACACACCCACACCCACACCCACACCCAGGCTCTGTAGACCACATCATGTCTTTCCACTCTTCGGAAGAGAAGGGCGCAAAGGACGCCGCTTCTCCACTCGACACGCACCAACGCGACGCTTCACCTTTGGGCGAAAAGGCGCAATTGGACAAGATGAGCGACGATGTGCCAGTCGAGCATGAAGAATCTCACCCAAAAATCACGGGCATCAGCGTCTTGCTCGGCATCGTCATTGCTTGTGCTGGTTTCCTCTTTGGTGTGAGTGCGCGCGAGCCAGGGCAGCCGCTGATCCCCCAGTTTGTTTACTCTTTACGCGCCATCCCCCGCCCCGCCTTCCATCGCAGTACGATATCGGTGTAATCAGCGGATGTCTAATCATGGAAGACTTTGTCGTCCGCTTTGGCGGGGGCCAAAACCCTGTTACTGGTAATTGGGAACTGCCAGATGACACTGCGTGAGTGCGCTGCTTGCCAGCCGAAGCGCGATGTTCGGTCCGTCTCTTCGAACCTTCCGCCTCAAACGACGTTCGACCCCTTGCTTGCCATGCAGATCCCTTATCACTGCTACGCTATCCATCGGTACTTTTGTGGGCGCGCTAGCTCAAGCGCCCGTTTCCGACTACTTTGGGCGCAAGCCTTCCATGATGATCTGGGCAGGCTTCTTCCTCGCCGGCGCCGTCATTCAGACCGCCACCATCAACGAAGTCGGCCAAATGTACGCCGGCAGACTCATCGCTGGTCTCGGTGTGGGCGCTCTGAGCGGTCTGTGCCCTCTTTACGTGAGTGTGTGCTCGTAGCGCCGCGAGACTTGGCCCCGCATTGACCCCGCTCTCTCTCTCTCACGCACAGCTTGCAGAGACTGCTCCAAAGTCCATCAGGGGAGCGATGGTGTCGTGCTACCAGCTCCTCATCATCGGCGGTATCTGCGTGGCCTATGGTGAGAGTCTCGTCGACAGGGCCGTTGTCACTCGACCGCTCTCGCTCATCACGCTCTGCTGCTCCACCTCCCACAGCCATCACCTGGGCATCGAACAATCTCAACTACGAAGCAGCCGGCTGGCGCATCCCCGTCGGTTTCCAGATGCTCTGGGGAGTGCTCCTCTTGGTCCTGATGATTCCGCTTCCAGAATCACCTCGTTGGCTGCTCAAGAACGAAAAGCCAGCGCAGTGCAGAACGGTCATGGCTCGTATGCGCGGTGCCAAGCTCACCGACACTACCAATGGATCTCGCGGAGATGCGCAGCTGGAACACGACCTCGTCGACATGCAGGAAGGCATCGAGGCCGAGAATCAAGCGTTCAAGGGTTACAATTACGTCACCGGTTACGTGCTCTGCTTTGCCAAACAAGGTCAAATGTGGAGAAGAACCTTGACGGCCATCATGCTGCAGATCTTGCAGCAACTCAACGGTCAAAATGTGAGTAGCGCAGCGCGCGTGCGTGCGTGGGTTGTACTCGCTCGCGCCACTCACGCTTTTGCTCTCCTCTCACCGCCTTTGCAGTACTACTACTACTACGGCCCGACTTTCTTCAGCAAGGCCAACATCCAACTGCAACCCCTGCAGATCCAATTCTTGTTTGGCGCCATCTCTCTCGTCTGCACCGTCCCCGCGCTCTACCTGGTGGAGAAGATGGGCAGGAGAAAATCGTTGATCTTTGGTGCCATCTTTGAAGCCATTTGCGCCTACATCGTCGCCTTTGTGGGAAAGAACGCTTTGGCGCCGGACGGTGTTACGCCCAACGCTTCGGAAAAGGCCGCTGGCAACGCGTTCGTCGCCTTTGCCGTGCTCCACTTGGCCGCGTACAGCATGTTCTGGTGAGTGGGTCGCGCCCCGCTCGTCTCGTTCGTCTTTGGACCATTTCGCTTACGTATTCCTCACTTTCACCGTCGTCGTCACTGCTTACAGGGGCCCTGTTCCATGGGTGAGTGTTTGGCATTGTGCACCGTCGCCACCGTTGCGCGGCATCAACACTGACGCGTCGCACTTCCTCCCACTACCACCGTCACATAGGTATCATGCTCCGAGCTCTTCCCCACCCATCTTCGGGCCAAATCCATCTCCCTAGCCTCCGCTGCTAATTGGCTCTTCAACTTCCTCCTCAGCTTCTTCTCTCCGAAGGTAGCGACGCACTACGGTCCATACATCATGCTGGTCTTTGCCGGGTGCTTGACATTCGCCGCCATCTTTGTCTTTTTCGTCCTGCCCGAACTGAAGGGTCTTAGCTTGGAAGCAGTCGACGAATTGTTTACGGAACACCCTCGCATGCCTCCTTGGAAATCCAGCAGTTGGCAACCTACGAGGGGAGAAAAGGGCCGGGAAACGCTGGTTGGTCTCAGCTTTTTGCCGTTTGGGAACAAGAAGAGCAAGCGCGAGGCTTGATTGGCGGTAGGACGTGCGTTTCGCGCGTCGCGCCGGGCAAGGGCGAAGCGGCCGTGCGACGGATTCGCATTGCATCGCCCTGGAGAGCGCTCCGTCTCTATCGGCTTGAAGACTCCCGCATGGGCGACTTTGCCGTCTACACCTCACCCTGCTCGTTTCATCTCTCGAAAATCTCGCCGAAGTCTCGAGACATTTACGCCTCACCCCTGTACTCAATATTCCCGTTCTCTTCCTCTTGCTCGTGTGACGCGACGATCGACTCGAATATCGATGCTGAAGTCTATGATACCTTTCTTTGTCCGTGCGAGTTTGAACACCACGCATCTTTACTCCAGAAGGCAAGTACAGCACTTGCCGCGACCACTACCCTAACCTCAAAAGTAACCGTGGACACCTTCTACGCGGGGGATGTGCAGGTGAAAAGTGCAGCAGTAGTCACGAGTCTTTCGGCAGTGACTGTGGCTGCCCAACTAACCCATGCTTGCAGTGCGCACTTCACACAGGCAATCGAAACATGATAGCTGACCTGCTGATGAGCTCAAAAGCCTGCTTGCTGCCCAACGTTACAAAATTTGTCTAGATTTGTCGGAACAAAATGGTGGGCTTTTGCTCAAGAGTAATTTAGGGTAAAACATGTGGGAAGGTGGATCGCTCGCTCAAGGATATGGATGCGTGTGCAAGAAGGAGGTATACTTGAGAGCTGTAGAAGATTTATGGGCTTTCTTGCCTCAGGACGGACACACTGAGAGGGTTATTGAGGCTTTGAAGCGGGTGCTGCTCATTGCTCTCGGCTACGAATGCTCATCACCAACAACCGAACCGAACCGAACCCATCCGAGTGCTGTGAAAGCTGCAGGTCCAACATGGGTGCTCACGCTGCTACGTAAAGCAAGAACAGAAAGGCGGGTGCTTGGCGCGAGGAAAGCATGCTGCAAATCCCGCATCGATCTTTTCCGCGACCGTCCATTGCAAAGACGTTGTATTGCAGAAAAGTCTTTGTTGGGGGTCGTCTAAGGCTCTCTCGCGAGAATTTATAGCTATGATATGTAATAAGCGGTTTAGAAAGACTAATGTAGCATGCGAAACAGTTTAGAGCTTGAGAATTGCGAGAGCGCTTGACAGATCCGTGCAACAACTCGACGTTCTTGGGGGCCTACATTCTAGGGACGAGCTTGAGATCGACAGTGTGCGTCCACTTGGCTACGAAAAAGTCTCTGCGGTCCAAATGGTCCGGATGAGAGTAGTGCGGCGTCTGAGCTTGCTGGACGTCCACCTGTCCTCCATCTTTGAATCTGGCCAAATCGTTGGCTCTGTGCCCCACAATGTCCACATCGTACAGTCGAGCGGTGAGGGCGATGAAGAAGAGGATCTCGGCGTTGGCCAGCGGCAGGCCTAGACATCTTCGCGAACCCTTGGAAAAGGCGACGAGGTAGTGCTCCAGATGGTGGTTGAGGTCCTTGGTGCCCGGCAGGAACCAGCGCGATGGATCAAAAGTATCTGGCGATGAAAAGATGGTGGGGTTAAAGTGGACGTATAGCGTAGACATTCCTACAGAAGTGCCCGGTGGTAGGTACACTTTGCCGCGCTTGTAACCTGCAGCAGGGACGGTGCGAGGCAGGATACCGGGCACGGCTTGAGACCATCGCAATGCTTCTTTGGCCGTGGCATTCAGAAACGGCAATTGTTCGAGATCGTGCAGCTCGGCTTGCCAAATGTCGTCGGCCTCTGGGAAAGCTGCGTCAAGCTCGGCTTGAAGATCCCGGAGCACCCGCGACTTTTGACCCTCTGCAGTGAGCTTGAACAGCGACCAAATCGCCGCACTCGTGGTATTTCCCACCTGCAAGTCCCAGGCCGGTAAGCATGGTGGTCAGGCGCGCGCAAGGATCGCGCGGGCGCACTCACAGTATCGTGTCCAGCCGCCAAGAATGTCCTAGCTTCCGCAAGCGTGGCATGTTTCGGAGCGGGCGCGTGATGCTTTTCGTCCTTGCCATACATGTTGTCAAACAAGATGGGATATCCGAGATCTGGATCCGTCTTTCCAGCTTCGTAATCGCTGAGCATCTGCGCTGCGATCTGTGCGAGTTTGGACAAGGCGGCATAGAGCTTTGCGTTTGCAGCGAATGCAAAGAGAGCCGCGGTGATGTTTGGAATGCACGACTTGAGCATGACGACCTCGTTGTTGGCGAACGCGGTCAGGTAGTCGTGTGAGAAATCCTTGGTGGCCGTGACGTCGGTCGACTTGCCAAATGCTAGAGCGGAAATGACATCCAAGGCGATGGCGTGATAGATTCTTGGAATGCTCGCAGCGCCTTCTCCTGCTTTCTTTTGCACACCATTCACCTGGGCCGTGAGGGTGCTCTTGAAGGCGGCAGACAGCTTGGATTTGATCAACGGTGCAAAGGACTCGATCGAGCTGCGATTGAACAAGGGAGACAGCCTTTTGCGTCGTTCTCTATTCTCTGCTACATTTTGCGTCGCAAACGAAGAGTGGGCTTGATTTGCGCCAGGCGAAGCAAAGGTGTTGTAGAAGGAAGCTAGCGAGGGCGCCCGCATCAGAGCGTGGAAAGTCTACGCCTGGGGCGGACAGACGACTCACTCTTGACAAAGGTCGTCGAATGACCTCCGTAGATTTCTTCGTACGCGTCAGGGTCCGACACGGATACCAGATCGAGTCCATACCTCAAAAAGGTCTGCTGCCTTTGCTGATGCGCTTCCAAGAGGGCGTAGGCGATGCCTTTCCCATAGCGATACTGGTACGCTCTCCAAAGTCCGCTAAAGTGGAGCGCACAGAAGCTGTAGGCGGGGATATGGGATAGCGGTCCAAAGTAGGCGAGATGGAGGTGTTGGGCTAGTCGACCTAGCGCGAGAGCAGCTAGCACCAGACCGACCGTTTCGTAGATACTCAAGGAGAAGTGAGTTGATGTTGCCATGGTTGCAATGTGTTGTGTGTTGTTGCTCGAGGGAATTGGCGACGAGAAGTCGTGAGTGGGCATTACACAACACCAGCCTTTATAGCAATCTGAGTGACCATCTGTCGCGCCAACATGATCGGGCACACTACATTGCTCGCGCGGCGAACGACTCGTCCGAACGTGGCTCGAGTCTCACTTGTCCGATTGTCCGAAGTAGCCGAAGCATACGTGGCAGCAAAAATGTCGCCGGTGGCTGAAGGGACGTCCCATGTGGGGCGGGTGGGCGTGAGCATGAAAGGTCAAAGTCGGACTTTGATGCCGAAACGATTTTCTGCCACAATGTCCTGGGCGGTGCGTGCGGTACGAGTGGGCTTAGCGTGCGATGCTCTCGTAGGACACGCTCCGTTCAATCCAGTGCACTGCATCTTGTCGTGCGTATCGTCGTGCACGAGCGCCCGAATGTTGCCTGCTAGGCGCGTGTGTTGCGCGCATTGCAAATCAAGAAGCCAGAAAATCGCCGGAAGCAAGACGTCGTTGCGGCCAATTCTTGTCTCATCGATCAAGTAGCCAAACAAGCAGCAGGGCGAGGGCACGAATCATGCTGTGTTGAGGCGTTGGCCACGCTAGCCGCAAGGCGCGCATCGGCATGCCGCCGGATCGGGCCAAGTCAGCTCGCAAGGCGCGGTTCGGGCGGCAGAACGCTGCGCGCTGCGTGCTCGGCGTCGTGGAGATCGCATGTCTTCAGATCGGCCGTGTCGGTCCGATATGCCACCACAGATGTTCGGCCGAAAAAGTGGCGCTAGTGCTGTTTCGAGGGCACCGACCATTTGCTCGATCGCTCGTGAGGGCGACGATGGATAGGTCGCGCTTGGCCGAGTCGTCGAATGACAGGTGCCGCAGGGGTTAGGATGGTAGCGCATCCAGCCTTGCCAAGCTATGAAGACGAGTCGCCGCTCGCTCTACATCGAAAGAAGGTCTGCTGCTGAGCGACGAAGGTGCGCAGATTGAGTGGCATCGGAGCGCCGAGTACAACACCTTGGGAGCGAGTCGATGACACAGGCGGAAGAGTGACTGCTCCGCGTGTCATGTGGACTCGCGATCAGGTCACGAGACGAGCGCGAGTAGCAGACGAGCGCCGAAAGGCGCTTCTTAAAGACGCACACGTCTCGCCTCCATCCTGTTCATGCTCGGTCGAGCTGTCTGGTCCGTGCTCCAAGCAACCGTGACTAGATGCTCATTCCACCGAGCATGTCGAGAGGCACAGCATCCGGACCCCGCCTTTTGAACGTCTTCTTGCTGGACGTAGCCTTCTCTGAAGGTTCGACGGCGCCACTGCTCTCCTCGTTCCTCTCCCTCTGCACAATCTCATCCAGCCTCTGCCTGCTCATCTCATCACGATGTCTGTTCCTCGCCTTTGCGCCTCGCTTCTTGCTCGCTTGTGAGATGGCTCCTTGAACTTGAGCTTGCGCTTGCGCCTGACCGGATGCGTGCGATGTCTTGCGGTCGTGAGCGTGATCGCGCGTGCGCGTGCGAGTGCGCGCTAGACGGCGTGATGAACCTGTGCGGGCCATGTCGAGGGCGTCCTAATTTCCAAGCTAAACGGGCAGAGTGTGCGGTATGCGCTGTGTTGTGCAATGACTGAGAAATGTGAGATGGATGTCTGGATGGCGGGTTAAGAGCGCCCTCCGTCTTGCAACGGGGGACTGGATGCAGCAAAAGAAAAGTATGAAAAAGTTATTGCGTGCCTGTACGTGCAGCTTTTGTATTCGTGATTGTGATTCACGTGATTGTTGTATTCTCGATTTGTCGTACCTTTAATTGTACGAGAGATTGCGCGGGCCCCCCAGTCTCGAGCGCTCTGGTTCAACTCCGCATCAACCGCCACAACGGGGTGAGGGCGGGCATCTTGCGGGTCTCGCATCGCATCGCGTCGCGTCTCCCGGTGCGCATTCCCATCCCCATCGTCTCTCTTTGCCCGATCTTTGCGCCGAGTGCTCAGAGATGAGTCGCTCGCTGGCCCTAGCTGGAGTTGGTCTGTGTTCAAAGCCATCAAACGCGACAAGTCCGAGTGATCCGATCCAGGGCGGGCGGGACCCTCACCCTCCCATGCCAACTTCACACTCAATCATCCCTGCTAATCCTGCCTTCCGGGCCAGCAGCGTGTGTCTTGAAGCGGACAAGGCGAGAATCGAACCTGCGCGAAACCTCTTGGGCTCTCCATCCGACCGACCCACGTGATCTCTCGGGTGCGCGGCCGCGGATGAGAAACCTACAAAATCTGGACATTCACCATTACGGAACACGCGCACCGGGCATGGAAAAGGGGGGGGGGGGGGGGGGGTATATGTATGCTCTGATTCGGGGGAGAAGACGATTCCAGTCGAGGCGAGAAAGTCTCTTGGCGAGCTGCGAGGCAAAAGCGCATACATCCCGTTCCTCGAGCGACCTAGCGAATGCCATCGAGTTGCGATTGCCCACTCGGTGCCGCTCGCTTGTGCACGCTCTCGAGCTCAGGCTCAATTCGAGGTGACGCCGTCAAGCACCTCGCGAGCAGTCTTTGCCTCTTGCGACTCTCCAACACTCGCATCTGCCCCTTCCTACGTGGCACACATCAAGTGGAAAAGCCGTGTCGGACGTGTCAGTCAGCCTGCATTCCGCACAAAGATGACGCAAACTCACGAGAAACGCTTCCAAGTCCGAAACGGCATTGTCCAGACGCTTTTTGCAATCCGGAATCATTTGCTCGCAATCGCGGAGCACCTCGCGCTGCGTGGCGGAAGAAGAAATCAGACGATGAGAAGGGGGTGGAGAGGTTGAGCATGATGTTGATGGGACAGACTATACGCGCGAGCATGACCTTGACGAACCAGACTCTAAGCTCCCACAAAATCCGCGCAGCTAGACGGCGCCTCACCCACTCGCCTTCCCGACCACGCCCTCGGAGCACCGCATACAATCCACTCACTTGCTTCTTGACATCCCACTCGTCTGCCCCTTGCTTTTGCAGCCGCTCGACTCTCTCTTCCTGCTCCTTTGCCTCTTGCACATACGTCTCTTCCTCCTTTGCCAATCTAGAAAGTGTGACGACGCATGACAGTCGAGTGGTGCATACATGCGCCCGCGAGCAAGAGAGGCGGGGTGAGCAAGAGGGGAGGGGAGG